GCATCGTTCTTCCGCAGTCAGCCAGTTGGCGCCTGCGCGGTGCCGAGGCCCGTTCTGCTCCTGCGCGGAGGGGAGACGGGGTTGGGGGCGAGGGTCCCTAGAAATGTGGGGTTATTCTTGTCTCTCCCCCTCCCCAATTCAGTCATGAGGCGGTAAAGAGGCTCTTCTGCGGCTGCGACCTTCCACCTGCCCCCATCCTGGATCCCTCTAGGCAAGGCGAGGGGGTTGGTGGGGGGGCATCTAGGCATCCGGAGTGAGGGTCCCTTCTGGGCTGCGCCTCTGCCATCCCCATCCGGGGGTCTCCACGGGGTCTTCCCCTTGACAAGTGGGCCTTGGGAGTGGCATCCAGGCAGAAGAGGTGCCTGTCATTAGAAACCTAATTTTCCAAAATTGTCCCTTTGGTCTTTTTTCCTGGCAGGATTTCCTTTCCATTTCTCCATATTTTTGCCATTTTCTTCTTAGCAACTGAGCACCACTTCCAAATCGACCCCCTGACTCCCCCCCCAACCTTTTGAATTTTCTAAGCAGGCCATTTGGGACAGTCATTCCTCCTTCTATGTTCAATAATATTGGTGCTTTCCATTTGTCTGGACATTAACAAATGAGTTGGAAGGCACCTTGTAGGTGATCTAGACTAACCCTCCACCCCAGCCCAAGCAGGAGACCCTACACCATTTCTAACAGATGGCTGTCCAGTCTCTTTTTGAAAGCTTCCAGTGATGAAGCTCCCACAATTTCTGAAGGCAACATCTGTTCCATTGGTTGTTCTCATTGTCCAAAAATTCCTCCTTATTTCCAGGTTGAATCTCTCCTTGGTCAGTTTCCATCCATTCTTCTTTGTCTGGCCTTCAGGTGCTCTAGGAAAATAGCTTGACCCCCTCCTCCTCTCTGTGGCATCCCCTCAAATATTGGAATCTGTTGATGCTTCTACACTTCAGGCCAGAAACTATGTTTAGTTCTTGGTACTTCTGACACTTTGTTGGAGACCTAAACATAACATACAGCGAAGAACTTTCATCTCTTCAAAAACAGGATGTAGTGTTCAATCCAGACATGATGTTGCAATTTCTCATTAAAATTTAACATTTAAATGCAGATTCTAATTGCATTTAAAAATACAAATGGAAGCCTCTGTTGGACGATATGTCCTTCTGGGTTCGGCTCCAAGTGGGGGAAAAAGACACTGGAGGCATGGAGGCTGCTTAGAAAGATGGTTTAACGTTTTAATGGTGGACAGCACCGCAAGGCTTGAGGTCCTGGAGGAAAAGGTGATCACATGCTTCCACGTGTTGGGTGAAGAAGAAGAAAGGTTGAGGGAGGGGCTTGCAAGGCATTTTATAATCTGTTCAGCCTCACCTATCTGTTTCCTGTTCATGTTTAAGAAATGTATTCTGATTGGTTGTCAGATTCACATGGGGCCATGCAGGGGCACCTGTCTAGGCTGAGTCCAGGTTTGGTTTAATTCTCAGATGCCATGTGGTCAGTTGGGTAAAAGGCTTATACTAGCATGCTTTGATTCCATCCCCCCTGTAGCTGAAGGGGAGAAGTCTTTATTATGTAAAGGGACTGGCTTGGTCTTCTTAACAGCCCATTAACAAAAAGTATTTATTTTAGCATTGTTCTGTGTCTCTTGGCTGGGTGGACAGGGAAATTAGTGTACAGTTTTACTTGCTTTTGGCATTTTCTGCCAATGGGCACTCAATGTCGCCCTTTGAAATTTGAAGTTATGGGGTTTGGTTTGCCACCACTGAAGCAAGAGGCACTTTGCAAGAGACAAATCAAGTCCTGGGAATAAATCCCTTGCATCAAAAGCTTCACATTTTTTTTTCTCATTCTCTGCTTCCAGTTCCAGCAAGATTAAAAAATTCCAGGGATCTCAGCCAAGCAGAAAAGTTCCTGCATTTTTTATTCAACTATCAGATACAATCAAACTGAGCTGCTGGTTTCTGATCCTCAGCCAGAAGCAATGAAGATCCCAAATTCATCTGGGACGTGCTTCTTTTTTTGCAAGGAACTTGACTCATTCCTGCTCTGGGATGGGGGGAATGCCTCCAATGGCTTTTGGGCTTGGAAATATACATGAATAAATCCCGTTTCCTATACCTATCACAACTCGCGCTGAGCATGGACTCGGCTTCATGGTGGTAAAATATTTTTTGAATGAGAGTATCTTTTTTTCTATACAGATATTGGATGGTTTCGCCCAACATATTTCACCCGATTGCTACTATTTTTTTCGATTCTTAATTGTACATTGAACCATAAATTCAGCCAATGGGCTAGGGTGGCGTTATTGCTTGACCACACAGGCATACAAATCAAGAGTACTATTAAGCAGCTTAGCTGTTGTGTGAATACTGTACAAATGCAGCCAGTTTTCATTTTTAGATTATTTCACAGTTGGCTTATTAAGAACTGGTAGGGGAGGAGAAATATAAGTAGCTGATATTTCTACTGGATGATGTCAATGACCTCACTCTGGCAATCCTTGAGAACAGGCTTACTGTAGAAAGAAGAAGGGAAGTTTATGTAAGTGTAGGAAGGGAAACTCTCTGCTCTAAGGGCATATAAGGGGTTTGGATGCTTCCCGGAAATAAGATTTTGGTTGTATAACACTGAGATGGCCAGTTTGGTGTAGTGGTGAAGCCACCAGGCTAGAAACTGGCAGATGGTGAATTCTTGTGCCCTCACCCAAGAATGGAACAGTCACTTCCTCAAAGGCCCAGGAAAGAGGCAATGGCAAACTATAAGAAAGCTTTCCAAAAAAACTGCAGGGACTTGTCCAGGCAGTGACCAAAATTTGAGATTGACTTGAACTCTATGACACATATAGATCATTGGAAGGAGAAGAAGAAAAAAGCCAGGGTGTTGACTCCAGTATGAACTTGTTAATTAATAATTACAATTTTAATGGTTTATTGGATTTATTACCACTGATTATAACCTTCAGTGATGGAGTACCCCCAATTTCTCGAGGCAAACCTTCCACTGACCAATTGTTCTTGCTGATAGGAAATTTCTTCTTAGTTCTAGGTTGGATCTCTCTTTAATAGTCTTCTACCTGTTACTTCTTGTTACAGAAGTAACTTCAGATGCTTTGGAGAATAGATTAATTCCATTTTTTGCACAACTCATCAAATATCAAATCATGTCACCACTAGTCCTCTTTATTAGGGTAGACATATCTAGGCCCTGCAAGTGTTTTTTTTAAATTAAATAAACTAAAAAGGGACACAGGCAGGAAGTGGAAGATGGACACAAAAGTTTCTACCTTTGGGATATAAGCTTCCCAATTCCTGTCCCTCACCTCACCCTGGGGAGGGCAAACCAAAGTCCCAATGCTCTTAAAAAGAAAAGTTGAGAGTTCAGGAAGAAAATTAATGTACAGGCAAATGACATGCCAGGAAATTTTTTTCTACTGCTAGACTTGGTTTGTTGAACTATGATTTACTAAATGGATAATTATCAAAGTTCGTGCTATTGGTTTTCCAAGCCCTGACCAATGTCAGAAATGAATAAGGACAATATTTATAGCTCAGGGTTGATTTGAAGGGTCCTTGGTGTTTTCTGAGCTTGGTTGTTTTCCTTTCCTATATAGACATTTCATGACCCAACTAGGTAACATGAGGGGAGATAAATAGGGTCCCCACCTGCTCAGAGATGTGAACTGTGAGGTCCTTGGTGCTTTCTGAGCTGGGTGGTTTTTCTTGCAGACGTTTCATGACCCATCTAGGTCATCATCAGTGCTGGAAGGCAGTGGGGCTTGGTCTCATTTTACAGTCTAGTAAGGTGAGCCAGTTGCATAAAAAAAAGCCGACTTCACTCCCTTGTAGCACTGATGATATTACCTACTTGGGTCATGAAACGTCTGCAAGGAAACAAAACAAGACCCCTTCGGGAAGCCATAGCGGCCTGGTGGGTGAATGCAGATTGGGAAAGGAAAGGAAGGAGGGAGGGGAAGGAAGGAAGGACGGAGGAGGAGAAAAGAAGCGGAGGAGAAGAAGGGATAGGGGGGAAGGGGCGGGTCCGCCAGGCCGGCCGGGAGACTAGGCCCGGCCGATGGCCGCCCGCCCCCGCCCCCGCCCGCTTGGGCGGCGCCTCTCCTCGCGGCGGCTGCGGCGGATCCCGCGAGGCGCCATCGCGGCCCGGCAGGTGAGCGGGAGGCCTGACGGGGAGACCGCGGTCGCCATGGCAACGGACCCGCCACACGGGCCGGGTCCCCAAGGCGGCGCCCCGGCTGGGTGTCAGTGGGGAGGGACGGGGGGAGGCCCCGCCGGCGGTGTCAGGAAAGGGGCGGCTAGGGCCCGGCTTCGGGGCCCAGCCAGTGCCGCGCCGCCCGACCTCGGTGTGCTGCAGGGAAGGCCGGGCAGCGGCTGAGGGGGCCCCTGGTGGGGGCTCGGAGATTTTCTAGGGGGAGAAAGCTGAGGTGTATGTGTGGGGGTCCCTTGCGGAGCTGGGTCTCGTTCGCAGGTTGGGGGCAGGGGAAGAGGAGGGTCGCGCGCCCCTCCCGGTTCTGGCTCACCTGCGCTACAAGGTGATTTTAATTGAAATAAATAAATAAAAGGGCAAGGAAGGTGGGTTGCCACCTTGGCATGCATGCGCCCGTGTGTGTATTTTTATTATTTTTAATATTAATCTCTCTCTCTCTCTCTCTCTCTCTCTCTCTCTCTCTATCTATCTATCATCTATATCTATCTATCTATCATCCATCTATCAGAAGAGACAGACATTGCGAACTCCAGAACGTAAAATATATGTCTGTCTCTTCTTTTATAACTACACCTGGAACTCATATGTTTAGGTTAGTTCACACACACATACATACATATGTAAAAATGTAACCACAACACACCCCCATTTCTAGATTTATCTGCTTTGCAAGAGTCTTTGTGCTGGGGAGGGGAGAAGGCCAAGATGGTTTTTGCCACCAGCCAGGCAATCATTTTGTGAGTGGCCACAGCATGACAACCAGGTGGAGAAGAGACCCACAACTTTTGCAGAGGGCCCCTGCTGCCCAAAAGACCCACCCTGGCAGCGTTAATCAGTTTTATTTCCCATTAGAATTACTGTAGCTTTGGCCTTGGTGGCAAAGAGCGAGGATCCCTATTAGCATGTGATGAAATGTGCCAACCTAGGAAAGAAATACATTGTAGGTTGAACAGGGATGTACCTGAAACACAATTCTCAGGGTTTCCTGGCGATGTGTTGGGTGTTGCACTCCCCTAACTTCTGGGTTGCTACCAGTGATTTTCTGAGAATATATTGTGTGAACACAGCCAGTTGAATTAAAACAAACCCTGGTTAAGCACAACTTGCAGTACCAGTCCCCCAAGTTTTTTAATTGCAAGTATTGGAGTAGCTTTCTGTGTTGTGTCTGTTGAAAAGAAATATTTTTCTAGTAACTTTGGTTTCACTGGTTAAATCCTGATTTAGGTGTTACAGGGAAATTTCTATCCATGTTCTTCTTAGTGCAGTTTTTATACGTTTCCTGTCTATTCATTTTAACAATTAAAAGTTCAGGGAAAGTTCTCCAGACATTGGATTAATTCGTAATCTTATTGCCACCATATATATGTTTGTACTGGGCTTTATAGTTTAGAGCCTTTTGATAGCTCTTTCAACTTTTCTTTTACCAGTCCCATTATTTTTACACGTTTTTATTATTTCCATTTAGTTCCCAGGCATTTCACTTTGAGTGAGTCTATTTTTCCATAAATTAAACTGGATATATGCTGAAGTAGTTTTTGATCAGTTCAGCAGGTTGTAAATTGCCTCCTAGGAGTAAAATCAAAGATTTCCTTTCCTCTTTTTATTTGTATGTGGCTGTGGTTGTGAAAGATTAATAAGGTATAATAATTTCTACGCTACTTGAGGTTACACAATTTCTCGATAAACAGGTACTGATTGGCAACAGTAGTTTTAAAAAGCCCAGATTAAAGATTTCACATATTTGATATGAAAAACAGTGCAATTGTTTATAGTGCTATTTAATTACTGTTATTTACATGTTTGTTTTTATTTTAATGTAACTCTTCCTCCAGAATAAACCCAGAGAAGCAGAAGAAAATTAAAATTACCTAATTGGTAAAAGAAACTCCCTTAAATGATTGTTTTCATTTAGTCTTGTTACTTCAGATAATATAATGCAAAGTTAATGTTAAGAGAAAATCTTATCTTAAAGCAAATACTCATCCTGCAAATACTTAGGAAATATTTGCGTTTCTGTGGCTGCTTTATACACATTTTTTTTCTATATTTTTACTAGAATGGAAGATCAGTTTGCCTGACACACAATACATTTTTCCACCTTCACGTTACCTGAGAGGATGTTTCTCATGAATACTTCTCCTTTGATGGCCCTTCCAAGAAAATGGGAGCCCTTTCCTCAGTCAAGGAATTGCAGGTATCCGGTCTGTTTCTCAGAATCTGAAGAAGATCTGGCTAGAACAGCTGTCAATGCCAAAGTCCAGATGATCATAAACAATTTGCAAAGTGAAGAGGTACCCCTGGATGCCAGCAGCAAATATGGCTGCATCGTACAGAAAAAACAGAAGGCAGCAAAGAATAGAGGGCACAAATTTAGGAGGAATGACCAGCTGCTACAGGAACATATTAACTACACCCTTTGTAGCTATCCAACAGACTCTGATGGAATGGACATGGAAGAGGGCACAGAGTTTGGACCTCACGCCTTGAATTCTGACAGTGATGATTCTGTCGATAGAGATATAGAGGAAGCCATTCAAGAGTACCTGCGAAACAAGGGCCAGAATCTTCCCCCGCTACCAAATAATGCCAAGAATTTGCCCAGTAAGGATGAAGATCATCCAGCCAAACAGAAATTTCCTTCACACGATGCAGCTTGTCATTTATTCCCTGCTGGTTGTGCTCCCGTCGGTTTGGCCCAGCCGTATGTCCTTCCTGGTCACGTTGAAGATCATGATGTCTGTTGGGCTTCCTCCCCTTGTAGCGTGAGCAGCGACGACTCTTTCGAAGAGAGCATAAAAGCCGAGATTGAACAATTCCTGAAGAAAAAGAAACAGCAAGCAAGAAGGAAGATCCCGAGGAGGGATAAGCCGTTTCACCAGAAAGAAGAGCTTCAAGAGAAGCTAGCCCTCAGTCAGAAGGGCAGCATGAACAGAGGGAATCAAAGTTCTTTAAAGCAAGGAGGCAAGGCCTACTTCTCAAAATGGCATCCTGAGCTACAAAGCATTGGCAGGGCTATGTGCTTGAAGTCAAATACCAGCGAAGAGCCTGCAGGCTGCAAAATGGAAAGGCAAACAGGCTTTTCCACTCTGACAGTTCATGATTCCTCCTTTCTGGAAGAAAGCAAAAAAAGTGGGAAAAGGCCGATACTTTGCAATGCCCGGAGAGAGGCAAGAGTCGAATGCACAGATTTATCTGATTCGAGTAGCGATGACGGGATCGAAGAAGCTATTCAGCATTATCAGCTTGAGAAGATGAAGAAAGCTGCGGAATCCAAAGCAGGCTGCGTTTCTTTGCAGAAGGAAGGGTTCAGCACCAGGAAGGCAGAGAATATCCCTCCAAGCGTGAGAAGTGCCTTGCCAGAAATCAGTCCGAAAGCTCAGCGCTGCAAGAGGAAGGACGCCAGCGCGAAGGTAGCAGCAATAAACACGCCTTGTAACCATCTGGGGAAAAGCAGGAGGTTTTCTCCTCCAGAAAACAGTTTTGCCAAATGTGCAGTCACACTTCAGGCTTCATGTCGAGTAGACACGGCTGCCGAATTAATGTGTGCAGAAGCCATACTTGACATCTCCAAAACTATTTTGCCTCTTCCAACAGCAAGTGATCATAAACTATTCTCAACTAACCCTTCCTTTTCTTCGCAGAACGTGCTACCTTCCCAGTACGAAAGTGACAACAATATTGTGGACAGTGACGATAGCATTGAGCAGGAGATAAGAGCTTTCTTGGCTGTCAAAGCAAGGACCAAGCATTTAATAGCAAAGTCCACTTTCCAAGTGCCTCTGTCATTGGGGCAGTCCAGGGAACAGACTCAGAGTTCCAAGGAAACGTCCCCCAAATGCCTAAAACTGCCACTAAAACTGAATCACAAAAAGACGCTTAAGAGGAAACGTGAAATAGTCCCCCAGAATGAAGATGCACAGTTAATCTCAGAGGTGGACTATGTGGATAAGAATCTTCCAAAATCCTCTGTCACCCAACCGAGAAATGAAAGAACTGGAAAGATGGTTCTATATCCAAAAGGCACAGAAACTCCTGTTCATTCTACCGGTATGCCATGCCCTTTGCCTAACACACCACATAATTCTGGAAGTCTGGTAGAAAATATCACACGAGGTTTGCAGAAATACGGGGCAGATGATAAAAGCAGCTCATTTGATAGCGATGAGGATTTGGATACCGCTATCAAAGATCTCCTGAGATCCAAACGGAAACTAAAGAAAAAACCCAAAGACCAAAGAATCCACTGCAAAAAGAAAGGCCCATTTGGTGATGCTGAAATGCATATTTTTTATAAAAATGAGAGAGACAGCCAATTACAAACTCCCACCTTATTTAAAAAGTGTCTTGTAGGTTCCAGGAGAGACATTAGAGAGGGGTGTGTAAAGAAGGGGCCTTTGAGAAAACCGAAAAGTACCATAGAGTTTGAACCTGAATGTAAAAAGGAATACCAGACCAAACCAGCTTCTGGAGCGGAAATCCAACAGGCCACAAAGACCCATCCATGTCTGTGGGCTGTGACATCCTTGGTGGATGAGAGCAGTTCTGTAGATAGTGATGACAGCATTGAAGAAGAAATCCAGAGGTTCTTGGCTGAAAAGGCGAAAGCCTCCACCAGGATAGGGGGGTTACCAGTTGCCACTGGAGTTGCTGGGATTTTGAGAGCGGAGAAGCCCCAGGCCACTCTGTTGAAAGCAGAGTGGCAGCTACTCAGGCAAGGAAGCCCTGCCTCAGAGAAAGAGGGTCAAAAGGTGGGCAGGTTGGACCCAACAGGCTCTGAGGTGAGCAGCCGCCAGAGATGCTCAGGAGAGAATGAAGAAAATGCATCTCACCCCAGTGAACAAGCCAGACCATTCATGGAAGACGGGAGCAGCCAGGCTAGAGTGGAAAACCCACCCGTTGCGGACAGAAAGGAGATGGAGCTGCCTGTAAGAAGAGCTGCAGTCCAAAGAAAGGACATTTGGGAGGACAGGTTCCATCAAAGGACCCTCTCCTCCGGAAAAGGCAAAGCGGAGGAGTGTTGTAAATGGCAAAATTATTTTAAGGCTGCGCCCTCTTTCAAAAGGAAGCGCTCGCAGGGATTCAAAATGTCCAGCAAATTTCTAGCAGGTCTCAGTGGTGGTGGGAATAAGAGGAAATCTGAGCTTTTAGGCAAAAGACAACAGGACACCAACCTTCCTTTGCTCAACAAGCATGGAGGGACCTTGGCAACACATTGGTTTGGGAAGGGGTCTCTGCCGAAAGAGATTGTGGGCTCCAGAAGTGAGTCAGGGGTAAGAGAAGCAGACCAAGAGACCACCGTAACTACTAAAGTGGTGAACCTGGTCAAACGTGATAGTGTGGAAAGCCACAAAGGAGATGCCAGACAAAGCCTCCCTTTGCAAGGGCCTGGCATAGAAGAGACCATGATTAGCCCAGGGACAACATGTGTTGAAGTCCCTGTTAGGAGAGGGAGACCCCTGGAGTACAGCCCCAGTTGGGAAAAGTGTGAAGTTCCTGAAGACCCTTGTGATTTATCCCTCAAAGGAAAGGTGATTGGCCAAGGTAGTACAGCAGAGGCGCAAGCCCAGAATCTTCTAGCTGGGCCAATGAGGGAATAACCCACTGTCTCCGGAAAATAATCCCAGTTCTTAACTGCTTTGTTTTACAGGGTTGGCATTCTAAAAGGCAACTACATCGAAAACTTCTAACAACGCTTCTCACCCAAAACTTAATTATCTGTGTTGGAAGAGTTGGAAGAGATAATAGGTGAAGGAGGGATCCAGGTTCTTGTTGCATTAAGAGCTCAGATCAACCCTTTGTAGTGAACGAAAATAAATAAATACCTCTTGTCACAGAGATTCGAACCGGGTCAGTATGGCAAAGCAACCAAAATGATATTTTAGAGAACCTGAAACTGACAGGAGAGGTAGTGACCATAGAGGTACTATCCACTATACTATCCACACTTATAACAAAATACATCTCCAATTAGACCTATCCAGCTTTTACTTTCTCTTTTGATAAGAGTGGTTTTTGTTTAATACAAAAAGGGCAATGCTGGAAGGAAATCTTTACATGACAATTTATACAGCATGCTTAACTTTGGTTACTGTAGATGTTCATAGCAGATCACTGTGTTTTCAGGCTATTTTCTAGTAAGCTTTCCAGGTCCGTGGGGCTCTTCCCCCCTGCAGCCTTCCTGGCCTCAGCTTGCAAGATTTGGAGAGCCAGGAATATGGGAGCCGGGTTGAAGGAAAGACAATCAGATGGGATACAAAAGGAATGCTAGAATAGAAGCCCTCTTATATCTTCTTAAAGCAGTTATCGGCAGCTGAGAAAATGTTACAAAAGAGGCAGAACTGTTAAAAGAAATGGGCCACTTGTAAAAACACAATTTGTATGACTTTCAGTGATAAAAACACATTTTAAAAAAACAATTGTGTCTTTAGAACTGAAAGTCATACAGATTTTTTTTTTAAGAATCGCATGGAGGCCCCTATTCTGTTCTGGAAACTTCCTTCAGTTCAAAATACCAAGCATCCTTGATAATGCCAAAGGGGGGAGGGGGTCCAAGACTGGAAGCACCCTTTTTCAGATTCTTAAAACAAAAACCTTCATTCAGTGATCATTCTTAGCTTGATCACTGAAAGGTAGCGAGCTAAAAGAGCAGCCTTAATTCCAAACTGAAATTGAACCTGATCTTTTTCGAGTAGCACTGTTTCTCCCTGTCCATGCTGCTTTTCATAGGATTGAAATCCTGTGTTGTGTCCAGTTAATCTGTTTCTTCTGGTAAATCCTGCTGAACATTCCTTTCACTGTCATTCTTGGGATGATGGGGTGTTTGTTGGAGCCTTCTGTGTTCACTTCCTGTTGAGTTTCAAAACTTTGTAGCTTGTAATTTCAATGCCCTTTGCTTGAAGATGCACTTTTTAAATTAAGAAACCTTTGTTTTGTACATAAGAAATGGTGTACATTCATACATTTATAAGATTTAATAAACTGAGTTCAGTTCATGGACCTTTGATCCAAATCCCTGTTTTTATTTTGTCATGTATTTTGAAGAGCTTCTTTTTCTATCGTCTATGTTCCAAAGAGGTTTTAGGAATTATATTTTTTCAGGTAGTGGCCGGGTGACCGCTGAATTTGGATTCTGCAGTAAGCTGCTGGTTGGGTCCTTTCGACTTTAGACGTCTATGAACATTTTTATTTTGCTTGCTGTAGTGATCTTGGCACATTAGCACTTCCTGCAACTCTCATACGGTCTTCATTGATTTAAGGAATCTGGACAGGCCCCCAAAGAAGGAAACATCTTCCCAAAACATGGATTCAGCATCAGGTCTCACCTGGAAAGACATGGTGGAACTCTCCTTGGTCCAAACACAGAGAGGGAAATAGTAATTTTTATGGGAATTGAAGATTGATTCTGTAAAAAAGGACAACATTAAACCAGCACCCTGTCGAAAGAGTTCATTCTTACACTAAGCCCCAATTTTGTTAACTGTCATTTGTCTAACAAACCTACATTGCCTGGATTCAGAGTTGGCAAGACCAACTCTGCAGCGAGTCACAAAAAAGTGGAGATAGGACAGTTTTTGCCATGATCTTGAATCCACAGCACTTTCACTGGCATTGCCTGTAACAAGCTTTTATCACAGCTGTGGCACTAAGCCGTAGTTTGGGTAACAATTGTTTGTAGAATACAGTAACTCAGTGATGGTGAACCTTTTAGGCACAGAGTGCCCAAACTGGAAGGTGCGAGCACCAACGACCAACTGGCTGGCACACAATATGCGCCCCGGAAACCCAACAAGCAGCCAGCTGGCATGCATGCGCACATTGGAAACCCAACTACCAGCTGTCTGAGCTGGGGCGATGGTGCACATGCCCACCAAGAGGGCTCTGCATGCCAACTTTGGCACATGTGCCATCGGTTCACTACACACTAGCAATTGAGGCTACTTGCCACTTGCTTCCGCATCCTTCGCTGATAACTTCTCTTAATTTTGGTGGTCAAAGGGTCACCTGTATATCTGTATGGTTATTTCTACCCTTATTTTTCACTTGAGAGAAACCAAGGTTTAGGAAAGATTGGTGACATTTCTTCAGGTTTGACGTTAGGCAGGTAAACGGATATTAAAGCCATTGCCCAAATGAAAATACTGTGATTAAGAGCTCTTACCCTGCCTTGTTGAGCTTGACCAGTGTGGAGTTTTCCCTCCTTTTCAATATGCCTTTTCCTAGAACAGAGAGACACAGGGCTGGGAGGGACCCTAGAGGTCCTCTAGTCCAAGCCCCTGCTCTAGTCTTAAGCGTCCTGTTCTACCAGCCCAATCAAATGATTGTTCAATCTCTTCTTGAAAACCTCCAGTGATGGAGCATCCACAACTCCAGGAGGCAAGCTGTCACCCCTAGAAGAACTAGGGGTGACTTGATAGACGTATTCCAGTATTTGAGGGGATGCCACAATTAAAAGGGGGGGAGTCAACCTGTTCTCCAAAGCACCTGAAGGCAGGACAAGAAACAATTGATGGAAACTAATGAAAGAGAAAAGCAACCTGGAAACTTCCTAACAGGGAGGACAATTAACCAGTGGAACAGCTTCTCTCCAGAAGTTGTGAGTGCTCCATCACTGGAGGTTTTAAAGAAGAAACTGGACAGCCATTTGTCTCAAATTGTATAGGGTCTCCTGCTTGAGCAGAGGGCTGGACTAGAAGACCTCCAAGATCCCTTCCAGCTCTAGTCTGATTAATTTTTTCTCCTCATGTACTAACCTGGCTCCAGAAAAACATGTCTCTGAGTCCTGGGGTACTAACAGGTTGCAACAAGGTGTTCCTAAGTCTTTTGAGTGTCCCCACACCCCCTCCATTTCAGAGCCACCAAAATCTCACCAGATTGCTCGTGCCCACTCTTAAAGCAGCTGCATCTTTTCCTGTGTGCACTTAACAAGTCCTAGCACACCCATTTGGCTTCATATCTGAAGCTCTGCATTTCCCTAGTCAATGTACTGAATTCTCAGGTCCAGATTTTCTCTCCCCTCCCTCAACTCACTTCTCTTTGGATTATAGGCCATGGAGCATTGTTCAAAGGCGAGACAGTCCTCAGCTCAGCAAAAGCGGTGGCCACAAAATTAGGAAACTGCCTCGAACTTATCTAGTTAAGCTCTGGTTGATTCATTTCAATGATTGGCAGAACCAGGAAAATTTTCGGAGGTGTCCTTACGGTGTCCTCAGTGCTCTCTGAGCTTGGTGGCTTTCTTGCAGACATCTCATTACCAAACGGAAACATCATCAGTGCGAGACTGACAATGAAATGTCTGCAAGAAAACCACCAAGTTCAGAGAGCATCAAAAGACCGCATGGGTCAACTGTGAGCTACAGAGATTCTCTTCTATCAGTTGCTGTGGCTGCTGTGGGACAGATGTGGCATTTTCGACTGGCAAAGTAGGTCTTGCCCTAATTTTGAAACCACGCACAGAGACCCGTCCATTCTCAATGTTTTTATGGCAGGTAATGTCGATCTAACATGCTCATCGTATTAAGAAAGAGGCTAAGACTGTTAGCAAGATCCAAGGCAGGATCTCTTGGGAGTCTCTCTGGTGCAAGTCACCTTTGAAAAAAGAATTTCCAAGGAAGTGTGTGTGTGTGTGGGGCACATTAAACATTTTTTGGTCTGGTTGTTGGAATGTTAAAAAGCTAAAGGAGATCTGGAAGCCTTTCGGTGCCCCTTACTCCGAAAGGGAGGGTCCTTTAGTTCGGTAACTGGGGTGGAAGTTGCGGGTATCCAGGAAAGTGATGAAGTTGTCGGGACCAGTCACGTAGCTTTTTTCCATGGCGGTGTTGATGCCATAGTTCCTGTACATGCCGAAGGTGATGAGGCGGTCAGAGAAGGAATGTGGACTGACATGGAAACTGGTCTGCGGAGAGTCAAAAAGATGAGGGCAATCTTTAGTCATCAGAGAAGAGGCCATTTAAATCACCTGGAGGAGGGATCAGCAACCTTAAACACTCAAAGAGCCATTTGGATCTGTTTCCCACAGAAAAGAAAACACCGGGAGCCACAAAATCTACCGGGGATCAAAAAGCTTAATAAAGTTGCGTGCCGGTGGATGCCACACATTGGCAGTTGTGACACGTATTTCGAGTGTCAGGAAGCCGCAGCAGAGGGATGAAAGAGCCACATGCGGCTCCAGACCCACTGGTTGCTGACCTCTGACCTGGAGCATCACGACGACTACGTTGGCCTCATGGCAGGTGCCAGAATCCCCAAAGGGTCAGCTGGAATTCCCACCCAAGTATTAAGACCTTGCGTTCATAGGCTGATTAATCCCCAATTTGGGAGGGTTGAGCTTTGCCTGAAAGGATCTGGATGGGTAAGTGGGAAGTGAGAGAGACTGGGAGGCCAAGATGCAAATCTCCCTTCAGCCACATGAACAAGCCACTTGTTCTGCCCCAGCTCCCCAAACATGACAAACCCTCTGATGTGAACTCAAAAGATTCTCTTATTAGGGGTGCCGGCAGGCCCAACAAAAAGCTAACAAGTCCGCCTGTCTGGAAGATGAATAGTTGTCTGCCACACCTATTCATCTCTGCCCCCTGCCTTTCATCCCCAGAGGTAGGGCGGGGCTTCGCTAGCAGCGGTGGCTCTTCCGTCCCAAGGATCGGCCCATAGATTTCCACTGCTCTCCTCTCCTGCCTTCTGTGTATCAGGCACTGGCCCCAGTTGTTCCTCCTCTTCCTCATCAGCCACCTCCAGACCTGAGGGCTGTTGACTCTTCATCTGAGAGCTGATGGATGGCCCAGGCTCTGCCGCTTTCTCCCTCTGCCAGCTCCATTCCCTCTTCCCCCTCGGAGCTCCCAGGTTGCCCTGATGCTGACCCTCCCACGCCTCCTCCTCCGATTCGGCTGCTGGAGGGCCACAACACCCCTGGAGGACTTTGGCTGGCCACTGCCCCTCAGCCCAATGCACCCACTGGAGATAAAATGGAGACCTCCGTGGAAGAGGACCGACCCGCTTGCAAATGTTTAGAAACACGTTGAGACTGAACAAGGGGAGGTAGTCTCCTCAGCCTAGTCAATATTGTGTCAGAGTTAATTCAAGGGCCACCACGTTCCTCCTCCTCCTCCTTAATGCCGAAGTTATATTCTTTGACACCAGAGGTGGGGAACTATGGCCAAATAAAACTAAATTAAGCTGAAAGAAGACTAGAGAATTTGAGGTGTGCCAAATTGTGGGGACCTGCTTGCATGCCATGCTAATCAAATGCATTAAAAGCTGCTTTATTCCCTTGCTGAACCAATTCATGGGTTTCCTGAAGAGGAATTGGCTACCATAATATTCAGATCTCAATACTGACCGGCATCTCGTGCACTGTTGGAGGTTTGGCTCCATAATCCATGTTGGTCGTCCTGAACAATAGGTTGCGTTCTTTCACTCTGAAATGACAACAACAACAACAACCTCAGCCAGTAGAATTCTTTTTTAATACTTTACTAATTTTAAGGGCGTAACATTGAGTATCTAGAACTAAGGAGAAATTTCCTGACAGGGAGAACAATTCATCAGTGGAAAGACTTGCCTGCAGAGGTCGTAGGTGTTCCAACCTTGGAGGTTTCTAAGAAGAGATTAGACAAACTATTTGTCTGGGCTGGTATAAAGTCTCTTGCCTTGAGCAGGAGGTTGGACTAGAAGACCTCTGAGGTCCCTTCCAGCCCTATGATTCTATTTCTAAATGATTTCTAAATTTTTATTTCTAAATGATTTCAGCTGGTTAAGCATTCAGCATCTCCTCTCCTTCCTTCTTTGCTTTCAAGAAGAGACTGGACTGCCATCTGTCAGAAATGGTGTAAGGTCTCCTGCTTAGGCAGGGTTGGACCTTCAAGGTCCCATCCACCTCTGTTCTGTTATTCGGCTCTTTTTTAGTTTAGAAATAAATCGCTTCCCACTTTTTTTCTCTTCTTCAGAAAAAGTACTTTTTTCCCCTCAAAGGAACCAGTTTCACCAATTAAGGGTTGGGTTCACACATGCCTAAATCTTCAACAAGCAAACCATGTTAGCCTTTTGTATGAAATTGTGTTCTGTAAGCCCCTTGCAAGTCAGTTTCTCTACACCCTCTCCCTTAAACCACTCATCCTAAACAAAACAAAAAGGTCCAGATGTATTGATTTTAGATTAAAGTTATATTTACTTTTTAAAAAATCATTTATAATATTGTTTTGTTGGATTGTAAGTTGCCCAGAGCTGCATAACCTGCAAGATGGGAGGGATATACATTTAATTAATAAATACATTCAATAAATACACTTTTCCAGCCACATTCAGTCCAGCAAGACTGGGGGGGGGGGGGCTACTGTAAACTGTGGTTTGCTAACTGTAAAGGTAAAGGTTCCCCTTGTACATAGGTGCTAGTTGTTCCTGACTCTAGGGGGCAGTGCTCATCTCCGTTTCAAAGCCGAAGAGCCAGCGCGGCCCGAAGACGTCTCCGTGGTCATGCGGCCGGCATGACCCAACACCGATGCTGTTACCTTCCCACAAAAGGGGGTCCCTATTTTTCTACTTGCATTTTTATGTGCTTTCGAACTGCTAGGTTGGCAGAAGCTGGGACAAGTAATGGGAGCTCACTCCATTACG